TTTATAAACTTTAAGTTAAACCTAGACCCTTATTATGTCACATTAAGAAATTGTTCCTTCTAATCAATCAATCAATCAATCAATCAATCAATCAATCAATCAATCAATCAAATTTTATTTATGAAGCGCTTTTCATACAAAAGATGCAACACAAAGTGCTTTACAGTTTGGTTAAAAACAATCCCGCCGGCCCATGTCCCCTCCCCCCGACCACCCAACAGACCCATCCCAAACCACAGACAAACGCACACACGCTCCCATGCACACTCTGACACACACACACACACGCACACACACACACACACACACACACACACACACAAGTAAAACAGTAAAACAATGATGAGAGACTTGGCAGGGTTCGGATGCAACCAGTTGAAAAAGCGTCATCCTAGGAGCCGTCTGCACCAGGAGCAAAGAGCCGCCTGTAGCCACAGGGGACGACACAGGATCTAGAGGAGACCCGAAACCGAGGCCCCAGGCCCCCACCAGGTCCAAGAGTCCGACCCCCACAGCCACACCGACCACTGCTCCCAGTGCAGAGGGCTCCTCCAGAGGAAACACTGGGTACACTAAAAACAATATAATAACAATACAATATGTAAAACACAAAACTGTGAAACTAAAATGAAACTAAAATGAACTAACACACAATACATGAATAAAAGCAATAGCAATACAATAAATAATAGAGGATAAATAGAATATATAAAATGAAATAGTAAAAACTAATCAAAAGCTAATCTAAAAAGGTGCGTCTTGAGCCTGCTTTTAAAAATGTGAACGTTCTCTGTGGCCCTGAGCTCCTCCGGCAGACTGTTCCAGAGACGGGGGCCGTAGTGCTGGAAAGATGCCTCACCGTGAGTGTGTGTCCTGACTTTGGGGATGGTTAGAAGTCTGCTGCCGGAGGAGCGCAGGGGCCGGGAAGGTTCATAGGATAAAAGCAAATCTGAAAGAAAGAAGGCCCAAGACCATTAAGACATTTAAAAACCATTAAAAGAACCTTAAAATCGATCCTGAAACACACGGGGAGCCAATGCAGCGATTTTAAAACCGGTGTAATGTGGTCCCGCCCCCTGGTCTTAGTCAGGACACGTGCGGCCGAGTTTTGGAGTAATTGTAAACCTGAAATGTTCTTTTTGGGAAGACCAGAGAGCAGGGCATTACAGTAGTCAATGCGACTGGTTATAAAAGCATGCATCAGCGTCTCCGTGTTGCCCCGAGAGAGAATGGGGCGGACTCTGGCGATGTTCTTTAGATGATAAAAACCTATTTTTGTGATGTTCTTGATGTGAGGAATAAAAGTCAGCTCAGAGTCAAAGATTACGCCCAGGTTTCTCACTTGTGATGATGGATTAAAAGAGTGTGATTGGAGTTTTGATAAAAGTTTCTCTCTCTGGGCCTCAGGACCGATGACTAAAACCTCAGTTTTGTCCTGGTTGAGCTGGAGAAAGTTTTCTGCCATCCAGGATTTCAGGTCTAAAATGCAGTTAAAAAGAGCATCCATTGGCCTGGTGTCATCAGGAGACATGGAGATGTACAGCTGAGTATCATCTGCATAACTGTGGAAGCTAATTCCATGTCTCCTGACGACACCGCCAAGAGGGAGCATGTACAGGTTAAAAAGGACTGGACCTAAAATGGAACCCTGGGGCACACCACATGTGATTTTATGGACCTGAGAGGAGCAGGTATCCAAACTTACCATGAAGGATCTGTCTGTTAAATAAGAAGTGAACCATTTGTGGACAGCACCAGAGAGGCCGAGGTGTTTCAGGCGGGATAAAAGAATGGTGTGGTCTACTGTATCAAAGGCAGCGCTTAGATCCAGTAGAACCAACACGGTCACCTTTTTAGAATCATAACTTAGTCTAAAATCATTTAAAATCTTTAAAAGAGCAGTCTCTGTGCTGTGGTTCACCCTAAAACCTGATTGAAATTTCTCTAAAATTTGTTGCTGATCTAAGAAGGCATTGAGCTGGGTAAAAACAAGTTTTTCTAAAATTTTGCTTAAAAATGGCAGGTTGGATACCGGTCTGTAGTTGTTAAAATCATTAAAATCTAAATTGCTCTTCTTCAGAAGGGGTCTCACCACAGCCGCTTTGAAGGCTGCAGGAAAGACCCCAGTCTGCAGAGAGCAATTCATCAGGTTTAAAAGCTCCTCTCTAAAAGATTCATAAAATGACTTAAAAAATGGAGTGGGGACTGGATCTAAAAGACATGTGGTGGGCCTCACTGAGGAGAAAACTTTATCAAGCATCTCAGCATCAACCAGGACAAAACTGTCCAGTGTTTCCTCTGGTGAAGACAAACAATCAGATGTGTTAAAAACAGTTGTGCGGTTGGATAAAATGTTACATCTGATTGTGTTTATCTTCCCCGTGAAGTGGGCTGCAAAATCCTCACAGAGGGAGTCTGTGGGGGTTAAAAGAGACATGCTAAAATCAGGGTTTAAAATGGTGTCGATGGTTGAAAAGAGGACCTTTGGGTTATTTTTATTTTGGGTGATTAGCTTTGCAAAGTATTTGTTCTTATGATTTCTAATTGTGTTATTGTATGCTTTTTGATTGCTTTTATATAGTTCGTAGTTGATTGTTATTTTATTTTTCCTCCACCTTCGTTCTGCCACCCTGCACTCTCGTTTCATTTTCCGTACTTCCTCATTTCTCCATGGGGGTACAGATTTTGTTTTTATGATTTTTGTTTTTAAAGGAGCGACTTGATCCAATGCGGAACTAAGTCTACTGTTAAAATCATTTGCTATAAAATCACAGGGGGCAGGTAAAACCAAGTGGGGAGTGTTGTTTAGGATGTCGATAAAATTTGCAGCCACTTCAGGGGTTAGATGTCGCTTCCTCACGGTTCTCACAGAGGTCTCACGCTGAATAAAACCAGTGATGTTAAAAAACACACAGTAGTGGTCCGAGACAGCCAAGTCGACAACAGAGGACACATCCGCAGTCAGGCCATAGGTAATGACCAGGTCGAGGGTGCGTCCCCTGTTGTGTGTTGACTGTCTGACGTGTTGGGTAAAATCCATGTAATTAAGAACATCTAAGAAATCTAGGGTAAAATTGTCAGAGGGATTGTCAATGTGTATGTTAAAATCACCGGTTAAAATTATCATGTTGTAAGAATTGTGTAACTGTGATAAAAACGCTGAGAATTCATGAATAAAAAGGCTGCACTTTTTAGGTGGCCTATAAATAATTACTGTTAAAATTTTGGGGTTGCTAAAAACAAGAGAGTGATACTCAAAACTTGAGTATTGGTTAAAAACAATAGGTTTGGTGGCCAGGGCGTTACTGCATATTGAGGCTGTGCCGCCACCTCTCTTTCCTTCTCTTGTTTTAAAAGCAAAGCTAAAATCGGGAGGGGAAGCCTCTGTAAGAACAGCCGGAGCATCCGGACCCAGCCACGTCTCAGTTAAAAACATACCATCCAGTTCGTGTTCTAAAATCAAATCGTTTACAGTAAAAGTCTTATTTAAAAGAGAGCGTACATTTAAAAGAGCAAACCTGATGGTAGATGGGGGGTCATTTTTGTTTGTGGTGAGGGGAGAAGAAGATGTGGAGGAGCAAAGGGCAACAGGGATGAGGGTGTTGAGGGACGGTTTCCGGAGTATGGACGGTCTGTAGGGGCGGGGTCTGGACAGAACTGAAATTCCTTGCTGGAGGGGGGAGCAGGGACCGATGTTGGAGTCCAGAGGGGCAGGAATGATGTGGGATGGAGTGGTGGATTGTCAGAGGTGCGGGGGACGGGATTGGACTGAGTGGGTGATGTTTGAAATCAAGTACCGGGTGCCGAGTTTATTGATATGGAGTCCATCGGGTGTGAAGAAGGGGTGGCGGTTCCAGAACAGATTAAAATTGTCAATAAAACCAAAGTTGTGCTGTTGTGATGAGTTTTGAAGCCAAGTGGTGAGTGATAGTATCCTGCTAAAACGTTCCACGCCCCGGTTCAACGTGGGCAGAGGGCCAGAGATAAAAACACTTTTGCCGGATTTCAATAAAAGGTTAAAAAGGTCCTTAAAATGGAGTTTGGTGGTTTCAGTTTGGCGAAGTGAAGTGTCATTTGTACCAACATGTATTATGATCCGGGTTATTGTGGGGGGTGCTGTCTGTAGAAGTGCGGGTAGTTTCGTGAGGATGGTAGGGACAGTGGCTCCGGAAAAGCAGTGTGTGATGGCATTGAAGAACTTACAGTGTTTGATGATAGAGTCCCCCACCAGGAGTGTAGTTGGTGCAAACAGAGGCCGTGGAGGGGAGGGTGTGACTGGAGTAGGGCCCGGGGGAGAGCAGGGGACAGGAGAGCGTTGGGAGGTGCCCGGAGCAGAGCTGCTGCGAGCCCCGTGAGCCGCAGTGGAGCAGGAGGATGGAGCCGGAGACCGAGCCGGCGCCCCTGCAGCGGGGTTGGTGGTGGTGGTAGTGCGGGCGGTTGTGGGAGGGCCATGGACCGGGCGGAGAGATCCTCCAGCAGGCAAGACAGCCTCCGCGGGGGAGCTCCGCGCCGAAATTGAGCGCAAAGACTCCCCCGCGGGCGAGGCAGCAACTACGGGAGGACTCTGCACCGTGCCAGAGCGCAGAGGCCCCCCCGCGGCCACCTCAGCGTAGGACCTGCTTCGTGTCCCGTCTCGGGGATTCCCTCCGCGTCAGAGCGCACGGACCCTCCCACAGCAGGGACAGCGCTCCCGGGGGTATCCGGTGCCGCGTCGGGGCACAGAGATCCCCCCGGGGCTTCTCGCAGTTGGTCCTGCGTGACACCCGGAGAGCCCCGCGCTGTTTTAGAGCGTGGGAAGCTCCCCGAGCGTCTGCGCACAGCCTCCTCCACCAACCTGCGGCGAGAGGACACCGTGGATGTCGTGTGGCCTCCAGGCCTCTGCTCCGCGCCGCTCTGGGTATGGGCAGCAGGCTCCGGGACCGTAGAGGAGGGAAGAGCACCGGGAGGGACAGGAGCAACCGCAACCGGGAAGCGTGAGGTAAGCACCGGGGTAGAGCAGGATGAGGGGTGAGGACAGGCGATTGGATCCCAGAGTGCAGTGTCGTGGAGCTGTGATTGTCTGAGTACGGAGAGGGATATTTGCTGTGACTGTTTGGTGCACCTTCTCCACCGACTCCCACTGATGACTGCTGTCGTTGTGTCCTTGGGCAAGACACTTAACCCCACTTTGCCCAAAGCCCTCACTGAAAGATCAAGGCTATGCTCACACTTACAGAGCAGCCGTCCTCCTGTGGACTCACCACCTGCAGAGGATCAGTGAGGGGCTGGTGCTATGAGACTTGGGTGGCATCTCTGACTGCCACCCCCCTGACCCAGAAATGGATTAAAGGGTAGAAAATGGATGGAAATGGATGGATGTTTGAATGATATGTCCATGAAATGTTCCAGAAGTTTCTCTTTATGTATGAGTTCAGTGGATAGTTCTGTGACAGTGCGCTGAAGTTCCTCGGGGGTCATGGTGTTTACTGGTTTTGATGGGAGGATTGAAGCAAGTTGTGATTTGTATATCTGTTTGTATGAGTTCGCGGGGGGAGCATCGGTGTCCATGGTGATGTGTAGTGGTTACCGGTGAAAGGCTGATAGACAGTCCTGTTAAAAGTGACAGTAATCCTTTTTGATGCAGTCTGTTAAAATCCGCGTAATCCGTCGAGCAGGGCGAATAAAAACAGTGATAGAAACTTAGTTTTAAAAATAACTCATAAAAATGTGCAACTCAAAAAAGGCTCCAAACAAATGCGTCCGCCATCTTGCGCATGCGTACTAAGGTCTCTAAGACAAAAGTTTTCCCCAAAAATGTTTTCTAAGTGCATCAGATTTGCTGGATGCAAACAGCCTCTCCGTGCTGAGGGTGCAGAGCGAGAGAGGCCTTCACTCTGTGCACGTACAGCCATAGTCTTCTTTTTGTAAGAGCATCACTACATCTTGCCTCTTAGACTTTAGGTTCTCTCACCACAAGCTGCGGACATCTGCTGCTGCTGAGTTTGGTCAGCTCCACAGAGTTCACAGGCGTGATGCTCAGGTGGGTCACCAGTGGGGCTCTCTCCTCTGGTGTTTGTGTCCTGGAGGCAGCACGCTCCCGCCTGGCCGCCCAGTTCCATGTCTCTCCGACGATCCCAAACCCTCTCTCCTCTTGAGTCTCATTCCATTCTCCTTAACTAGCCACCTCTCAGGTGCAATGGTTAATCTGCACATTTGAAAGTCATGTGAGTTCAAAAACCATGCAATAATCAAAAGTATACAAATCTCAGTCCTACCTGTCACATAGACCAGTTAAAATTATCTGTCCTTGGAGAACATAAATGTCAAGTGTCATTGAGAACATTTCCAAAGCATAAAAATACAGCGTAAGCCAACAAAAAAACTGACTCTATTGCTCCCAAACTGGTCTGACCCCTCTGGTCTACTTCTGAGTGCTGTATTCGATTGATCTGCTCAAGATTACCAGGGACGGACATCACAAATTAGCCGTGGCTATAAATGTTGTAGTGTAATAGTAATAGTGTAATAGTGTGCACATGTTGACTGTGTACACTTGTCCCTATCAAAGAAGTACACAAATAAATAAAATAAATATTTTGAAAGGCCAATACCAACTTTGCTCAATTTGTGGTAGCATCAGGCTCATGACATTATTCACTTTTCACAATATATTTACTATTTAAGATATTATTTCAAATTCAAGAAAATAGTCTCATTATAATTTTAATGACCAAAAATATGCAGAATAATTCATGTTTAAGTCATGTTCAGAGCCTTTTCTACCTTTTAAAGAGGCCATTACACACTGCTGTCCGCTTTAATCCACGACCCTCGCGTCTCATTAGCACATTTACATATGAATCACAATATCGGTACAAAAGACTCAACACGCTTCCTCATTCAGTCCTTCCGTATGGCTCTGTGCTCTGCCCTTTTACATCCCGTCCAAGGCTCCACAGCGGATCAAGTCGATAATTGTAAAAAAAAAAAGACAAGGAAAGCTATCCTTTAAAACCAAAGCAAATGTAAACATCTTTTCTTCCCGTCACCCGGACTGTAGCACCCTCCTCCTCTTCGCTTCTTTAATTAAACTTTGCTTCTCTTCAGTGCGACATTTTCAGTGCCGTATTTCCAGCAGGGCGATCGTTTCCGCCGCGTGACCTTTCGTTTGTTTGGATTTACTCTGAGCGTGCACGGCCCAAAGAAGTATCCGTCTTTTTTAATATCACGCTCAACAGCCCTCCTGTGTCCTCGTTAGATCGGACCACTATTTTACTGCCATGCTAATTAGTATCCGGGAGAGTTATGGCACTAATCATTCCCGTTTTTCCGAGGTGGGTGAAGCAGAGTTGGTGGTGGAGTGGTAAAAAAGCCAGCGGTACGTCGTCAAACTCATAAAGAGCAGAGATCCTCAGAGAGCTGCGGAGAGGCGATAAAACAATAGTGAGGAGTTTTCCGGAAGGATTCAAGAATAAATAAACACACAGGGGTCCTCAGGGTGGGCCGCCAGAGATGTGGAAGTGTGCAAGGAAAGAGCCGGATGCAAATGAAATCTCTGGTACTCTGCAAATAAGACAGAGTTATAGATTTAAGCTTTGGATCCTGCTCATTCCTGCTGCAAAAACTCCTCTTTTGCTCGTAGTAAGACGCAAATTCTGCAACATCACATTGTTTTAGTTTTTAACCATGGTCAGACATCAAAAACAGACTTGGTGCCATGTTCGAGTGTTTACTTCAAAAAGAATTGTTTTACTTCTCATCTACTTAAAATTTTTACCCATGTATTTTTATGTAATATTCTACAAACATGAAACGGAAAAGTAAATAGTCTCAAAATCATGTTTAAAGGCGCTATACCCGTTTCTGCAAGGTTTGAATGTTTAGCACCGCCCCCAACTCGCACACAGGCTTCTCATTTCCCCTACGCTCTCATCCCACGGAGCCATCTAGTTTTATTTGTGATCTGATACATATGCTAACATTAGCATTGGCGCAACTTCTTGTAAGCTGTGCAACAATCACTGATGAAATGCCACTAAAGCAACACACTGCTAACACAATATATAAGTAAAAGAATACCATTAGTTCCGCGTCCAAATGTATTAATTTAAACATTAGAATATATTCTAATATTGAATTATAATTTATTATACAGCTCCTCACAACAGCAGCAAAACACTCCATTGACTTGAATGCAATTCGTCCGATCATTTTTTCTTGATAACAGAACTCTCAAACCAATAATGACCGACGCCCCAATGCAATCTCTCTTTGTAATTTAGGTGTGTAAAATACTGCTATTACTCTGCAAGTACAACAAGCTTTAAGCGCCTGTCACTACACTGTGCAGTTTTTCTGCACACTTGTCTGTGTAGAGACAATAAACTACATATCAATCAATCAACACCATTAAACGTTAATCGGACAATACAGTACACATATACATCCTTAACACACATGCACGGACAATTTCAGAATTTGCTGTCAACGTTTTCATGACAAAAATACTGTTTTAATGTGACAAAAAGCGATCGCGAAAAACTCGGAAGTTACCATGAAACAGCAGGCTAGCTTAGCTGTTACCTGCCTAGCACGTCCCCGTGAAACCTTTGGGAGCTAACTATTTTATTTTGCAGTCATTAAATACATTTCGAATTATAAGGGCTGTCTAATATTTGTTCAAATATATATTTTTTATTTTAGAATTATATTTGAATTTTGAAGTGGAAGCCCTGGTGTTAAGCAGCGCTGTAGAGGCTAGAGGACGCAGGCTGTTCGCTGCTCGTTCTGTGAGTGGAGGAGAACGAGCGTCCCGCTAAGACTCTACTCAGCACTTTTCACTGCATAAATTTCATACACCGCTGAATCAATGACCTCAAATTTTCGATTAAATTATGTATTATGATACAACTTGTATGTAGTAAAAAGCATTTTTATGAACTACTTAGAAAAAAAATCAGGTATAGCTTCTTTAATGGATAAAATGACAAGTAATGATTATGTATTCTTTAACTACTACCACCACTAGTAGTAGTAGTAGAAAGAGAGGCCTCTTTCATATCGTAGATCAGAGGTTGCTGGACGATTGCTGCCCTGCAGACCCCCAGTGTTCCATAATGGGGCATGAGGACCCTGTTATGGAACTCATTTTGGTCGGGTGGATGAGTGTATAGCTCTCTCGATTCTCAGTAAGAAGGTTCTGGGTTCGAATCCCAGTCAGAACAGGGTCTTTCTGAGTGGATGTCTGCGTAGGTTGCCTTCGGATGCTCCGGTTTTCCCTACCACTAAAAACATGCACAATAGGTGCATAAGTCGTACAGTCATACAAAGATTGGAGTCCTCCTGGACCATAGACTGGACTGGTCAGCTCAGGCCAATGCTGTCTTTAGGAAAGGTCAGAGCAGACTTTTCTTCCCAAGAAGACTGAGGTCCTTCGATGTGAGCAAATGTTGCATATTTTTTATCAGTCTGTAAAAAATGTCGTGTGTTGGCGACAGTCTGACCTCGAGAGAGACAGTAACCGGCTCGACAGGCTGATCAGGAACTGTGTCTCTGTGATGGGGAGAAGTGTGGACAGTATGGGAGCTGTGCTGGAGAGAAGGATGAGGGCTCTAATGCAGGGCATCCTGGGGGATCAATAAAGTATCTATCTATCTAGGTATGAATGCATGAGAGAGTGAATGGATGGTGTTGGTTGGGGCTTTGATGTACCGGTGTGTTCCCGTCTCGCTTCCATCATCACCGTGTGGAGAGAATGAAACAATATTTGAACTCTGAACCTTGTAAAGCGCTTTGGGTGACCTTGGTCTGTAATAAGCGCTATATGAAAAGAGATTACTTAAAACTAAAAACAACAATGGAAATGTAAGTTTTTCTGATTTCTGATTTTTTTTCTTTCAATATTACATTATGTCTGTATTTAAACTAAATTATGGATTTGTTTTAACTTGAGTTTGCAAATTGTCTGAACAAAACAAGATCCATGAGGAATAGAGCAAACTCAATCCATCCATCCATTTTCTTCCCCTTAATCCATTTCTGGGTCAGGGGGGTGGCAGTCAGAGCTGCACCCAGTTCACAGAGCACCAGCCCCTCACTGATCCTCCTGCAGGTGGTGAGTCCACAGGAGCTGAGATCTTTCAGTTGGGGCTTTGGGCAAAGTAGGGTTAAGTGTCTTGCCCAAGGACACAACGACAGCAGTCATCAGTGGGAGTCGTGAAGTAGGTCTTACGGTGGGCTCGAACCCACGACCTTCAGGCCCAAAGGCCAATGCTCTACCAACTGAGCTACTGTCGCCCTTAGAGCAAACTCAAACAGCAGGAATCTAGGGCCACGTTTTGGGACGTCACTGGCAGAGCCCCGTAGAGCCAATCAGGGCCGATAATGTGTTATTCTCTCGCCCGCTATTCGCTCGCTATAGCCAGAATCAGAGACAGAAGGCACCCTTTGGCTCAGTTGTTGGCGTACAAATCTAGATTCACGCAAAAATGTCAAAAATTAAATACCAAGATCATACAGAGCGTTAAACCACTGATTTCTGAGCCCAAAATAGAGAGAGTGAAACAAACGATTACTGTGCTCGAGGAGTTTTCTTTTCAATGTAAGTGAGTATGAGCAAAACTTGAAGCTGCATAGAGCTAGTGCGTTAGCATTGTCCATCTATTTACTTTTATGTTTTTTTTCACAGTCACAGTTTGAGTCGTTTTATATCAGGAGTGTCCAACGTCTTGAATCTGAGAGCTACGTACTTTTATCTAAACAGAAATGGCAGAGAGCTACTCCTTGTAGCAGTTGTATTGCAATTGTAGTTTATCGCGGCACGGTGGCTGAGTGGATAGCACCCTCGTTTCTCAGCAAGAAGGGTTCGAATCCCGGTTGGATCAGGGCCTTTCTGAGTGGATTTTGCATGTTCTCCCTGTGTCTGCATAGGTTTCCTCCGGGTACTCCGGTTTCCCCTACCACTAAAAACATGTACAATAGGTCTGGCATGTGTCTCCTGTACTGGCGACCTCGCTCCCATCTCTGTGTGGAGTGAGAGGACAAATGCCCAAAAATAACAATTGTAAACCGCTTTGTGACTCTGGTCTGTGAAAAGCGGTATATACATAAACATTACTTACTTACTATATATATAATATATATATATATATATATA